AACCTAAAGTAGTCACAGGTTATGTGCTCATTCCTTGGTCTATCTCTGCAGCCTCAGAGCCTGTATTTCACAACTGTAGGGATTCTTTGGTTTACATGGTTATGAAGTGTTCTTTTTAATTCCTGGGTGCTTCCCTGGGCTGTTTCTTATCCCCTTTTTATTAGCTTCTCTCACTTCTTGTGGCTAGACTTTTGAATTTGTGATTTTTCTTAACAAATCTCACTGCTTTGAGCTATCCCAGATGCTTTTAGTAATGTTCTTTGATATAATTTAACCAATATCTTAACCCTCTTTGGTTCTTGGGCTTGGAATAGACAGTAGTAACACATGAAGTTAGAGATAATAAAAATAAAGAATTTGTGGCCCTGTTAAATGCCTGCAGGGACAATTTAAATTGTACATGTAGCAATATCTGAAGAATTAAAACTGTTGATGTTGACAGTTTCAGCTGTGAATGAAAATGAAAAAGACTAAAAGCTGAAAATATTGTAGACATTTTTTTTGTGTAGCCACACTAGTCATGGTGCAATGTTATTCTGCTGTCCATTTACACCATTCTTGTGGAAAGTGTTGTATATTAAACCAGTGTTAGCAGCAAACTTGCTGCTCTCCAATCCAGTCTTCTTTTACATTTTACAGATTTTCACAGAATCACATAGGTTGGAAGGAAGCACCAGAGATTACATACTTCAGCCTCCTGCTCAACCAGACCCAGTCAGGGCAGGTTACTAGGAGCCATGTCCAGCGCTTGCCTTCTTAGGGAGCTTGCTCCAGTGCCTGACTGATTTCATGATGAAAAATTTCCTGCCTATATTAAGTTGGAATTTCACATATTCCCGCTTGTGTCTGTGACCACTTGTCCTTTCAGTGTGCGTCTTTGAGAAGAGTTTGACTGTTTGCTCCACATCTTCTCATTAAGTAGTTGTCAATAAGGTCTCCTGTTAGCCTGGTGGTCTTACAGCTGAATAGATATGAGGTCCCGACCCTGACCAGTGGACACACTCCAGTATGCCAGTGTTTCTCTTGCATGGAGAGCCCAAAACAGGACACTACTCCAGCTGTGGTCCCACAGGAGGCAATAAGGATTCCGTGGGACACTATGACAAAGGCATTGTCAAAATTGGCTTACAAGACCCACTGCACTCCTGTCATTCACCAGAGGCAGTCATCTCGTAGCAGAAGGCAGTTGGGTTAGTCAGGCATGATTTGCTTTTAATAAATCCGTGCTGGCTGTTCCCACTCGCCTTTTTGTCTTCCCTGTGGCTGGGGATTGTTTCCAGGAGGGTTTTCTCCATGATTTTTCCAGGCTGTTTGGGTGAAGTTGAGAGGCCTGAAGTTTCCCTGATCCTCTATGCTATGTTTTTGAAGATGGATGTGGTGGTTGTCTTTCTCCAGTCGTCAGCCCCCTCTTTTGATCACCAAGAGAACAGAAAGAAGACTGTAGCAATGACATAAACTTTCTCATCACTTCAGGATCCATCCCATCTGGTCTCATGGACTTGTATACGTCCAAATGGCTTAGGTACCTGCAAACTCAGTCTTTCTGTTATATAGGTAATGATACATACCCACAGACCCTGACAGTAGGCTCGAAGAACTAGAGAGCTGCAGGGCAGACCTTCCAGAGAAAACCAAGGCAAAAATGTACCTTTGCCTTTCCATGGTCTCTGTCATGCTGTGGGTCTGTCTTAGCCTGCTTTTTCATGCCGCTGTTTTTACAGAGCACTTCTTGTTGCCTTTTGCTTTACTTGCTAGGTTCAACCCCAGCACAGCTTTGGCTTTCCTAAGTCCATCCCTGCACACTCAGGAAATAGTTTTGCATTCTCCTGAGTAACCTTTCCCTGCCTCCATCTTCTACATGCATTAGTTTTGCATTTGAGCTCACTAAAATGAATCTATCCTGGCCTCTTGCCACAGGTGCTCAACTTTCTGCCCATAGAAGTGGGCTGTTCATGTGCTTTGAGGAAGCTGACCTCGAAGATCACACAGTTGTCTTGAGCTCCTGAAAACCCAGTTAAGGATATGACCTATCTAGTAAGACTGGATGTTTCTTAAAAATAAAATCCTAACATTTAAAGCCAAACATTGATATATTTGCAGTAGAACTGATACAAACATGAGAATTCCTGTAATAGCATGTCAACTACATCCAGCTCAAGTAAATATTTCTTTATTATGTTCTTCTTCGTTTCTGTATTAATATCTGTGTTAATATATGCTGTTTCCATTTCAGTATAGCTTAACTATGGTGCTGAAACGTGAAATATGAATTAGTTTACAGTGCTGCAAATATTACACAAGTTTATCTAACTTGAAACAAGGTCCTGTGTGAATGGAAATCATTTAGGGTACCATTGAGATCAGTGGGACGCAAACTCAAGTGCACATTTGTGGTTTAAATTAAACAGCTAAAAGAATAGCATAATAGTAGTGGATATCCTTGTTTTCCAGAGTGTTCTTAGTCACTGAGAAAGGTGAAACTCAGCTGGCACTTCTGAGGGATAGCTGGTTTCTTTATAAAAGTTCCTTGAATGTCATCTAGAATGAATGGGATCCAGGAACATTTCTTGATGGAAATGATAGGTGAAATACCACAAGCCTTATCAAAAGTTATCTGGTTCTTTTTGAGCAACCACAGCTCTGTTTACTCAGTGCCAATGCTTACTAAGCCATCTTTGCACAAACTGAATTTAGGACCAAAAGCTAGCTATATACTGGAAATAAAATGGTCCCAGAGATTGAGCTTGAACACTGGGTTCCTGCTTGTTCCTGCTGTTTAATTGCTGCAGTCTCCCTGGCATAGCTTTTATCTATACCACCTGGAGCTCTCTGGGACCTTTCTCTTTCCTGGCATGTTTTGGGTGATACCATGTGCCAAGAGCCGTTTCCAGCAGACACTGTAGGCAAGGCTCTACTTTTGTTTCCTTCCAACCTATCCAGCCATGCAACACTACCCCAGCAGGCCTTGTAGCCTCAAACACCTCAGATGCATCATGTCACACAGCAGGACAGGGAAAACATGCCTTCATTTTTATACCATGAAAACACTGTCCTAATAGCTCTGATACAGTCCTCACTTTGAACTAAAAAAATCCTCACAGGTAATAAGGCCATAGGGGTGCTATGTAGGACTCGGAGGAGCATAACTAAGAAAATCCTAGAGTCAAAATGTAAGGTCAGATGTTGAGGAAGAAAGAGTACATGTACAGTGTGTAAGGTCAGTGCCTTGGACCTGTTCCTTGTGTTGGCTGTTTACACTTTGTTGTACGTAATATGCATGTTTTTTCATCATCATTCAACAGATGGACTGTTCTTTGCTTCCTGTCAAACCAAGTGTGCTGCTGAGTAACTGAATCATGGGTGTGTATACAAGCTAAATCCTGTGTTCTTATCTCACTCATGCACACCCACAGTTGACTTAAGGAGAACCAGTGTGAAAACAGTGAAGTCAAGCATAAAGGTACTAGAAAACTGCAGTTAATGTTGCCTGTGCCTTATGGCTCTAGAAACTACAGCAAAGCCAAGACTGATGCTGTCCGTTCTGTATATTGTCTTATTCAATGGTACTATAATGCGAACAACAATCTGAAACAGTTCTTCCTTCCTCTTTGCTTGTTTGGCTCTTGGCCTTTACATTTCAACTCTGCACTGAAGACAGAGTTAGGAATTTTCTCATGATCTCTCCTGCCGTGCTTATGAGCACTTCACAAAAATTCCAATTTAGGAAAATTTCCTGTTCTGATATAATCTTGCAGCATCTCATGGAACTTTGCTGGGAAGTTTCACAGGTACTGACAGCAGAGAGGTTAGAATAGGAAATCCAGGATTTGGCTCCATTCATCTTCATGGTTGCAGGAAGCACTCAGGTTGTCTGTGTTGCCTTGTTCATGTTCCTGCAATCTGTTCCAGTCCCTTTGCTACTCCAGTGCAAAACATACTGTCTTTAAGCAGCACTGTGCTAGATATGTTTCCAATGTCACATCTCCCCAGTGCAGCTCCTTTTCTCTTAATGCCAAAATTCAGTTTCAGTACCATTACCTTCCTAGGTGCTTTTCCCATTACTATTTTCTCAATCAGCCAGCTTCATATCTTAGTGCAACCTGTTCTGTGTGTTCCTTCTGTGCCAAGTCTTACCAAAGGCCCTTTCCCAGCAGCAACCATCTGACCAGCTGCTTTTTGGTCTCTTCTATGATAGTGCTTCAGTGCCTCCTTTTGCATCTTGGCTGTGTGCTGGAGAGTGGAGTCCTCTCTGACAGCAGCAGAGGAGAAGCCAGGCCTTCATTGTTTATAAGGAGTATCTGGCTTGGCTTGTAAATTTGGCCTGGGAGGAGTGTGCTCACTTACTGGTGGGAAGTGATGTGTGTGCCACCTGGTCAGCTCAAAGTATAGTGGGAAACTTGAGTATCCAAGCTGGAGATACTAACTTGTACAATCTAAAGTCCAAATGCACAGATCATATTCTATCCTCAGGAGCTGTGGTGGCCCTCAAAGAGAAAAACACCTGGTGGTTGAGTTTTACATCCATGGCTCAATACATGGTGTAGCTAGTGGTTTTTTTTAAAATAAATCAGTGGGACATGAGCAAAAAAAGTAGCTGAACTGTGTTAAGGCCTAAACTTTTACGAAAAAACTTGATTGAGGAAAATGCCTCAGTCAACAGACAAAATGCCTCATCAAAAGTCACTGAATCTGTGCAAGATAAATTTACTGTTTCCTGGAAAATTTGCTAGAATATAATAATTGGCAACATCGGCAACACCACGTAAGTGTGTTTGCTATGGATTTAAGCAAGAATTATGTGTTACATAAGGAAGGCGTTTTGTCCACAGATAGAAAATTACTGTGTTGTAGCATCTTTTTTACTATGTTATCACAGAAAACTTTTCAGTGTGAAAAAGGTAGAGATTTTCTAGTGTCTAACTTGAAAATTATATTTTCAAGATGTTTGTATTAACTCATAATTTCTTATTTTAGTTAAGTGTCTGAGGAAAACAGGAAACATGGAAGGTCATAAGTAGTAAGTACCTTCATCTTTTTTTCTTGTTCTGAAGAGCTAATGGTGTTTGGCACATTGATTTGTCACTGCCCAAGTCTATCACACATTATGTTCTGGCCTCTAGTATTTATATGAAGGCACTGGTAGACGTTCAGTTTAGAAAGAGTAAAAATAAAAAATGAAAAACAGCCAAAGAGCAGAAAAACCAGTAAATTGACTAGTTGGAAAAATAGTATATGTTATCAATTTCCTGCTTAATGGAAATAAGTGTAGGAACTGTCATGTTTCAAGAGGTTTATCTGTGGTGATCAACTTCAGAATTAAGTACATCCTTAATGTAGTTATATTTTCTGATTGTTTAACAAAACTTCACTATGTTCACGATTGCTTGACACAAAATCCATTTTAAAAGGTATTGACAAGTGTCTACCTGTAAAAATTGTCCACCAAGTATTTTGGTAGTGTGATTATAAGTCTCTCATTATCTTAAGCATAAACAGGAGCCATTAAATTCTCCAAATTAAATTAGAAGCCAAATTTGGTTTTAGTGTTAGAAGTGTATACTCCTCTTACTTCTTCAATTGGTTTGTCAGTCTCTAATTCTGGAACCTGTATAAATCCCAGCATTTTTTTTTTGGTGACCTCATATTAGTAACTCATTTTTATTCCTGACACCATGCCCCTAGAATTTCTACTGACCTCAAGTGAGGTAAATAGCAAGGCTGGTTGACATCAGATGAATTATGGTGTTTTCTTCACTCGACCAAAATAGCAGTTATTTGCACAGCTGTAGCACAAGTTAAAGCACACAACTAGCCAGACAGCTAGGGGCTTTAGATTGCCTTATGAGTAGGTATTATTGTGCTTGTTGTTGTTGTTGTTGTTATTAAAGTAATGCTGCTTTTATTAAATTCTCATATTTTCTTTTGATGCAGGGGGATCTTCTTGTTATTTATTGATGTTGTAGATTTTGTCTTTTAAAGGTGCAGCATATATTAATACAGGTCAATATAGGCTCCACCTAACTTGATAGGCAGCCTGTTGTCAGAGTGCATAATGGTTGGTTTGTGCAGAATTCCACATGAAATGTGGTATGTTTTGCATGTGTTGCTTATTTTGTGCTGTGGCACTATAAAGGCCTTTATTTTAATTTTTCTTTATAAATTAAACTGTTGGAACTACTGTTTGGGTAGAATTAAATGGATGACTTTTTGCTTTAAAGTTTGGGGTGGTAGCCAAGAAGTGCTGTGTATAAGTGCATTTAAAATTTTGTCCTTGCTTGCTTCCGGTTGAATTTATTACCACATTTTTGGTGATTAGCTGCTGTCTCCTAACTCACTGATTAAAAAATCTAAAGCAAGTAACAAATCCCCGCGAAACAAACTTCCTTTTCAGGTTAAAGTAGATTGCCTGTTATGCACCCACAGTTGTCATGTAGTCGTTGCATAAAGAAAGATGTGAGCTATCTGTGTATCTTGCAGAGAGCGTGCTCCAAAGAGATGAGTGTTCTTCTGACTCTTTATTATTCAGTTGTAAAAAAGGGAGGGCAAATAGTCCAAGTCATAAAATGAACTTCGTGAAATCCTGACACTGCTGAAATTGCATGAAAATTGCTATCTGCTTAAGCAACTCTGCCGGTTCACTTGAAACTCTTATTAGTTATATAAAAAGATAATTCCACGGGCTTATATGACTTGTCATTCCATAATATATTGGAAAGATTTCTTTGCAGCTGATTATTTTGCAATGCTACACACTAAAGGCATTCAAATTGAAAGTAGTGTATTATTTTCCAAAGTAGGATGTGAAATATTTTGGAAGTACAGTGCTGTTTTAATTGCTTTGTTATTAATGCTTAATGAGGAAATGCATGTTCGAATACATGTCTGCATACAAATGCAGTATTCTTGATGGACATGTATTAATATCGTTTGTGAGACTTATTTTTTTAAGCATCCTATAATTTTATAATTTTGTATCTTAATATTTTAGCAACTATCCAAGGGAATTTTATGACCAATATGCTCAAAGCCAAGAAAAATCTGTGGTCAATAAAATGCAACAGAAATACTGGAAAACAAAACAAACCCTTATAAAAGTTACAGGAAAAAAGGAAGATGAACATGTTGTGGCTTCAGATGCAGATCTCGATGCAAAGCTGGAGGTTTGTAATGTCTACACAATGTCTTTTCTCTGTTTGTTAATTCTTAAATAGTTTTTGTTTCCATCAAGCCTCTAATATGTGTACACATGGTATATGATGATGTATATAAATTTTTGTCATTATTTTCTTGTAACATATTTTCCGATTTTTTACAAAAGTACCCATGTAAATACAAGGAATGTACTGGTATTTTGTAACACAAAAAACCATGTCCCTCAAACTTGTGAAGGAAGTGATGTTACTGTGCCAGTAGTCCATTTGTCTTATATTTGTGAAATGCTTGATAGAGTGAAGTTTAAAGTTTAAGTTACAGATTGGAGGTTTTAGAAGGACAGAGTAGTAATTTTTCTGTTTCCTAGAAACAATGTCCAAACTTAGTCAAGACTGACTTTTTTTCCTCTACTTTCTTTGTAAACTGCTGCTTTATAAATCCAGTTATAAAACCAGAGCTATGCCAGTAAAAAATTCAGTTTAAAAAATTCAGTTTAAATCAATAACTTTCTCTGTTGGCACACCCCATGCAAGTTCGTTCCACTAGACTCTGAAGTATTAAAAATATGGTGATAACTTTTTGCTCTGCTATGAGGTTTTTAGTAACTGATTTGTACATCTTCACATGTATTCAAAGATATCAATTTAAAAAACCCCTGACATTAGTAGTTTGGTTAACTAACAGCTGCTTAGAATAGATCTATTTCCGAAATTATTTTTTGCTTTATTCTCCTTTGTCTGTAGTTTCAGTGGACAGCTTAATTCAAAGAAAAGCACAATTGATAAGGAAAAAATTACTTTCAAGCTGGAAAGATTACTCATTGTTCAAGGAGAAAATCGTGATTCCTAGTAATTTCTACAAAAATTAAGCTCTTTCTTGTATTTTAATTGTCAGTGTTTCTTGCATACGCTTACAATTTATTTCATGTATTTTATTTCAATATTAGCTGTTCCATTCTATTCAGAGAACGTGTATGGAGTTACTGAAAGCAACTGAACTGTATCAAAAGAGGATTTGTTGTAAGTATGCTCAAATACAGTAGTTAAAATGTTGAAGTCTGCATTATGGAATCATTGAACAAGTGAAAAAAGTAAAAATAAAAATGGGGAGCTACTGGTTTCATCCTAGTTAAAAATAAAGATAACATTCTTTGCAGATGGCTAAAGACAGACCTGCTTATTTGCCTGAAGGTCTCCTAGTTTTAATTTTTATATTTTATATTATGCAGTGACAGGTAGCAATAATTGTGGGAGAGAGCTTGCTTTTTAAGGGTTGGGGTTTTTTTCCATTACTTGCTTGGCTTGTTTAAATTCAGAAGTGTCCTAACTCTGTTCTGAAGTGGTTTAATTTTTTTTTTAATCAGGATTGACTATGAAGACTATGGGTCTTATTACTAGTTTTATAATTAAGTAATCCATGCTATTACGAAGAAGTTGATCATGCTGACTTGGCTGTAACAGGTGTAAAGTAATTAGTGGCAGTCATTGGTGAGAGACGGGGACCTCAGCTGGGAAGTTTCCAACAGCAGGTTGTATTAAATGACCTTTAAAGGTTCTCTGCAGTCAGTATTGTTCGATTCTCTGCTGCTGTGATTCCTGGCCTGGAAAAGAGAATCCAGCTTTGGAGGCATCTTTCAGTTTATTTTCTTTTGTTGAATGTTATCCATGTTCTCTGCAGTCTTTCCTTTTAATTTTGCCTGTCCAAAGACAGTCAGAGCTAATGTTTCAGGATCTGGAGATAAAATCAGAATATAGATTAGTAGTGTATTGAGTTCGAGAAGTGTTTCACAGTAACAGATGAAATCTCTGACACAAAGATACACATGCAACATGTTCTGTCAGAGTGCGCTATAAGTCTACATTGGATTTCACTGTCAACATTTCAAAAAATGACAAGAGGACTTCAAGAGATCTTCTTTCATTATATTGCGCCATTCTCCCTATTGATAACAGGAAGAAATTGGTAATATACGAGACAGCCACTTTGGAAGATTAATAGATAAGGCTGTGATGAAATCTTTTTGTAAAGATGTGAGGTCTTGAAGTTTGGAAGTAGTCAACAAGTCAGTGTAAAAGCAGTTTTCTTCATCTTCTTGTTTAAAAAACAAGTGGATTAATTTGAAATAGAAATATTCCAGGTATTTGAAATATAAATTGAATAATAATGTTTGAATTAAAGTTGTAAACTGATCCTGCAAAATAATTTGAAAGTAAGTGTTCTTTAAAATGAAATACTAGATTTTTCATATTAAAAATTTAGTTCTCTAGTCAAGCATGAAAAAGGAGAGCAAGAGAAAGCAAGTGAACGAGCTATGAGTAGTGTTACTCAGAATTAGCTGCAGTGAAAGTATGCTACCAAAGATCAGCTGAGACTGTCCAGGTGGTAAAAAAAGGATTTAAAAACAAAACAGAACAACAGCAAATCTAAAACCCCAAGACTAAAAGATACTATAATCAAGATTTGGTTCCTTTATTTAATCTAACCAACTTAAATCTTTTGTTCAGGAAAGAAATTGCATTATTATGCTGTTGTCTTTTGACATTGATGGAATTTTGTGATTCTTTAGTACAGCAAACCCATCAACAAATGTCTCAAGTAAATCAGATCTTCTGTTTAATAAATACAGGAATTCCATAAAATTATTTATTTTTGCTGTGCTGCTTGGATTATGAGTGATTTAACCTATTAGGTATTAGGCCAGTTTTAAAGCTGTTAGGAACCTATTAAATAGTATGTTTGACTACTCATTTATTTTTCGTTAGTTCTGTCTCAGGAAGAAAATGAATTGGGGAAATTTCTTCGATCACAGGGTTCTCAGGATAAAACAAGAGCAGGAAAAATGATGCAAGCCACAGGAAAGGCCCTCTGCTTTTCTTCTCAGCAAAGGTATATGTGTCATAAATACCATCTGATTTACAAAGTACATGGGGTAATGGTAGTTGATTCGCTGTTGGCGTAATTCATATTTGCCATTTGAAATGTATGAGGCACCAAGTGACGTGAGAGCTATTATTGACCAAACCTGCTGCAGTATTGGCAATATTATCAGCTTGCTGTAGTTTTGCCCAACTCTGGTTTTTGTATTGTAGACCTGCTATGTCTGTGTACCTCTGTGTCCCCACCTGTGACTGTTCAGATCAGCAGTTCTAAAACTGTATGGGTACATCTGCATGGCCTCTCTACCAGTGGGGTTGTAAAGTAGCTGATGACAGGTCCCACTTCTGCTTGGTGGCACTTCTCATTCTGCAGAGAAGTGCTAAATCAGGCCCATTGTGAAGGTGGCTGGGTCCTAGGAGGGCAGGGTAATGGGTAAGGGAATGCCTTTTTCTGGGCCATGGAGTCTCATACCTTGAGTTGATGAAGGAGAAAGGAGGAATCTAAATGTAATTTTCTGCTTTAACCTAACACCATGAAGTCCCCCAGGAAAAGACCCTAGATCCCCACTGAGCTCATGTCAGCTGGGTAAGATCAAATCAGTAAAAGGTAAGGCATACAGAGGGACACACATAGACACAAACACATGCTGTTACCCAGAGCCCTTGATGTCTCACTGACTATGTGTGCTTAAAGAGTTTAAAAGTAACAGTACTTGATGGACATTATGAGTATTATGAGCCTTTTTTTTTTTTTTACAGAATTTGGACTATGAAAGTTTGAAATTCACCATCATTTGCAAGGGAAAATTCTGTTCCATTATGTTTTACAGGATTTTTTTCAGCTCTTAATTACTGTAATACTTTCCAACTTTAGCTTAACAGTGCAGCTGTTTGGCTCAAAATAAAACATCACATACAGAGCGCGGAGAATTTTGTATGTCTGTCTTGGGCTAGAATTTGGCCATTAGCACATCCAGTAAGAGCCATGAGTGGGATCTTTAAAACACATGTAAGGCACCTTTGAGCAAAAGCTCTAATGATTTGCTTCCTCATAAAGCTTAACTGTTTATAGAAATCCTACTGTATGACATGTCTACATAAACTGAATTTTCCTTTGAATGTCTGAATATTTGTAGAATAAGAAAAATTGTGGGGGAGGAAAAGACACAATAACAAGCTTACATTTTATTATATCACTTAGTCAATACATTTGTAAGGCATCTTTTAAAATAAACACACATAAAAATAAAACCAATTGTTTGTCTTCTCTTGAGCCATCCTCAAGCTCATATTGAAGTTGGGACTGCTCTTATTTACATTGCATTCCAATAGCTCAGTAGCTGGAGATCAAGAAGACACAATTTGCTGGTTACTGGAGCTGAAATTAGAAATGCTGTTGTGCCTAGGAAGTCCCTAAGCACATTAAACTTGCTTTACACTGGTGTGGAACTGGTTGAACCCATTCCAGTGAGGTGGCTGCTGGCAACCAAGAGAAAAGCAGAAGCAGCAGGAGGAAGTAAAGCAAGAGTTGGAGTAATCCTATCTAGTTCTGAGATCCCATTAGGAGCTGAAGTGATGGCATAGAGAAGACAACAGTGTCCCCTACTGCCTTTCCAAAGTGTAGTTGCTGGAAGAAATGTTTAAGAAAATGCCAAAATCCTTCCAAAAGATAAATCTCCTTCAAAGGAATTGTTCAGGTTCCTCACAAAAAAAAAATAAACAAACAAACAAAAAAGAAACAAAAAAATCAGATTATTATCTTCTTGACAGATTACTTCTTTATTTAGATGTACATTTGAAGATTAAAAGGCTAATGGTAGTTCTTTTTCTGAGGCTTAACATGACAATCCTGGTACATCTGTGGTGTGTATCCAGTAATAAATTACCTCAGATACATTTTTAGAGTTGTTAATTGCAGCTTGTGAAGAGGATTGTTAATAGTGTGCATACAAGCAGCATGGCTAACTAAAATACATATACATGTTAGAAAAGATTCCTTTTCCACTCACATGTGTAAATGAAATGTCTCTACTTGAATAGCAGGGTTGCAAACACAGTATTCACGCAAAATTACCCCATTTGTGTGTACTCATGACCAAGCTGTAGAACTGTGAGTGTACAGTTGCACTTCAGTCAACTGTTCTGACTGTGTATGTTTTTTTGATTGCTAGTAAAGTATCTAGTAGTTGTATTAATCTGTCTGCTTTTGTGGAATGACTTTAACATGTTCTCCTCCTTCCTTTCTTTCCTTCATGCTTCCCCCAGATTAGCACTGCGTGCTCCGTTGAGCAGATTATATCAAGAAGTGGAGACTTTCAGATATAGGGCGATCTCAGACACATGGCTAACAGTAAACCGAATGGAGCAGTATCGGACTGAATACAGAGGAGCTCTACTTTGGATGAAGGATGTGTCTCAGGAGCTGGATCCAGATCTTTATAAGCAGATGGAAAAGTTCAGGAAGGTATGAAGTTTCCTGTGGTTTCCTAGAAGTGGCTGCCTGATGAATGACATTGAAGCATGGTTTTGATTCTTCTGAGGAAGACATAATTCAGGAGCACTAAGGATGCCTTTTATGATAATTAATCTTTTCCGTGTGACAGAACTCCAGTTAATGTAATAGGGAATATGGTATCCTTCACAGAGTGGGCTGTAAGGAAAGATAACAGTAGTAAGAAACAACATTTTTCAGTAGTCTATTCAACTTCAGCCTAAATCTTTATAATTTAAATAATATTTATTTTTAAAGAAGGTTATCTAATTTTAAATACTAAGCTGTGATGCCTGAATGACTAGTGGAATGAGGTATGTCTACTCCCAGACAGGCAAAGGAAAATCAATTTTTGCGACTAAAAAGTACAGAATAACAGCAGTGCAGTAGAATCTGTTGCTAAATTTTTGGGTGTAGTTAAAGACCAGCATTTTCAAAATTGATGATTGTTGGATTTTGAAGAGGAGTTGCAAATTTGGAATTTGTTTTTTCTAAGTGCCTCATGCAGCTCAGCATGACTCTTGGGCAACTACTGAACACTAAAACTGCTAAGAATGCACTCTCCATAAATCATCTTCATTCACTGTAACTCAAGTTTGCTATACTTCTCCCCTCCCAAAGTCCTTCCAAAAATCACAAGTCCTAGGTGACAGTCTGCAGATTTGCTACCTGGTGCAAGTATAGAATTTATCTGGACTGATTCTGTCCCATTCGGTTCACGAATGCTCATGAGAACTTCCCGTTTGCTAGTGAGGCTCTAGATCTAGTTGATTTTGTTAAAAGACTATAATGTTCACAGTTTGCTGTTTATAAATCCTGACTTTTAGCAGGTATTAGGATCCAAGGTATAACATGGTGGCTTGTGCTTTGGCTACAGACACTAAAAAAAATTTACAGCAGTTGTGTGATAATGGAAAGCAGAGGTCTAATGACAGAAATTGTATTAGAGTGTACATCCATATATGCATGTGGCTTAGAGACAGGTAGTGTACAAAAGAGTATCCTTGTTCATCAATGGCCTAAGCAGTCTGTCACTAAAAGTGTTTGGAGATAGAAGACACTTAATTTGGGATTTTAAAAGCTTGAATAAACAATCCTAGCGGGAAAGGACTGGCATGTTTCTAGTCTATGCCATTTTTTGTAAACCGAAGTGGTGACAATAGCAATTAAGGAAGGAGTGGAACAAATGAAACCCCAGTTAGTCATCTAATCTTTATTTAATGCTTCAGTACAGGATATTCCTGTAAGTCTTGTGGCACCAGACATGTATTTTATTATGCCTTGTGGGAAATGTTTATAATGGCAAGTTCTTGCAGGTGAAATAATTGGTATGGTCTTGGCCTTAGCCAATTGCTTATGTATAATGTTTGATTTATTAGAAAAACACTTAAAAATGGAATGTTAGAATGAATAAAGCAGTACTCGTAATGGTCATACAAAATTGATTTATAGCTTTCTTGCAAAACAAATGCTATGGAAGACATAAATTATATAAATGGCAAAGTAATTAAAATAATGTATGCTTTGTACAGTGAGCTGCTGTAGTTAAAAAGTTAGATGTGAAATTTCAGTCATCTTGGGTTGCTGTGCTTCAAGGTCAAGATTTATTTTTTTTAAAACTCTCACAAAATTTAGTAATAAAATTGTGGAAATATTAAGTATTTTGAAATATTTTTCAGTCTGAAAAGAGCTATATTCTGATGTAAAGAAATAATGTAGATTCTAAAATTCTATAGTGTTACCTCAGATAGTTAAAAAAAAAACCCACAAAAAAAAACCAAAACAAAAAACGAAACCAAAACAAACAAAAACAACTTGAAGAAGGTCTTTTGAACCTTTTCTTCCTCTGTCTGTCTGTCAACTGAAAACCTTTCAGATCACATTGTCATGCAGAGAACAAAAAGCTCTGTATTTTGTAGCCAAAAAAGTAATGAAATGCCCTTGGTATCCACTTCTCTACATATCCTATCTGTGCAACAGGAACATCAATCTAGTCTTTGAAGAATTTAACATTTGCAGAAAGTAAACTTTTTTTGCATTTTGAAAAACAAATCCTCAAGCATAATGTACCTAGACAGCTGTTGCTGAACACCATACAACAGTTTCTTTTTAGTGCTTTAAATATGTAGTAGGCAGGCATGGTTGCTATTTTAGTCTTTTATAATTATAGGAATTAATTTTATTGTCTTTTTGTTCTATTCTTGCTTGCAGATCTTAGTTGTGCCATGGAGTGGCAGTGTAATGCTGGGTTTTTAGGGCTTATTTTGGATCTGTAACAACAATTTAAGAAGTCATGCTAGTTTTGTGTTGAGAAAGATACCATAATTACTGATCTGCTTTTGGTTCTAAAATCATAGAATCATGGAGTACCAGGTTGGAAGGGACCTCAAGGATTACCCTCACTGGAGAGAAGTGTTTGATCTGGAGCTGTGTATCTAGTGATACACCAGCAAATGGTTAATGAAGCTGATCCTGCCTGAGGACTGAAAAAAAACCAAACTTGAAAAGAAGTTTTCTTCAGACTTCTAATTGTAAAAATTTGAAGTATTACTTTAGTAAAGATCTTTTTTATGTCAAGTAAACAATGCTGGCTTAGTGATCTTTAATTCACCTAGTACATCAGCAGTGTTTATATCTCTTGGTTATAGGACTGTTTTTCAACTATGTAGCCTTTTATAATGTAATCCTGAATGTATCATGATATATACAGATATAGTACTTGTTTTAGAAGACCAAAGCTAAATCAATCCAGATGGGTTTTTCATACATCCCTCAGAATAGCTCAGGCTAAAAGATCAATGGTTGAGTCAGTGTTTTCAGAGCTGATAAAATCTGAGTTAAAATATTGGCATTTTTGTAGCTCCCTTTCAAAACAGTGAGGTACTTGAAAGAACTTTCTAATGCTTTCTTAAAGCATCAGTCTAAATAGGTGACACTCAGCAATACTACCACTTCCAAAGTGTTCCCAGAACGCTGCAGAACAGCCTTTTTACATTGTTATTTGAAGGTATTCATGTGGTTGTAGCTACTGGAGTCAAACCAAGGAAACAGGTGAAGTACTTACTTTTCCATGCAGAGTTTTTAAATGCTGTGTATCTTCATTTTTTTTTTCAATATGAGCAGTTTTTATGGACACTCCAGTGCTGTTCTAGATATAGATGTCTTCCATCCCAAGTTCAGAGTTTGCAGTGTTGCTTGACAGAATCTAAACAGTGCTTTGGCAATGCTGTGATATTTAAAAGAATTTGAATGTATTAGTACCCCTTTACCAAATTCTCCACCACTGATGGGGTTTTTAAAGTTCTTAAATCCAGACTGTTTTATCTGTCTGGTGACTGTACACTATAGCAGAAGCTCTGCCGTGATGTTGTAAAAATACCCACCGAATTGCCCAAGTGCTGATAGGCCTCTAGTGTCCTTCCTCTGACTTAGAAAATGTTAAGCTTTTCCATGTATTTCCTGGAAAGGAAGAAACATGCTAACATGCAGAATGGTAGGCTATGCCACCAGGCAACAGCCACCTGTATGCAGTCTACAGGAACACAGAAGAGGCTCTGCTGTTCCATTTTACTTAGCTACCTCAGCTACAGTACAATACAGACTTTCTCATCAAACCTAGACATGATAGTGCAACCCATAACAAGTAAAATGTGAGAGCTAAAAAAATTATCATGCTGACCTTTAGACTAACTTAAGAAAAAATACATCTATGACATGACAGGATATATATCATGCTACATTGATGGAGCAAATTAATCCTTTCTACATTTGCTTTTTTTTTTTTTCTTCCATCATTCTTCTACTCCTCTGCTTCCCTTTCATTCTGAGGCTTTAACCAAAGCTGGAGTGGCTTTGTAAATACACTCTGGCCATGCTGGGATCCCTGAGACAAGTTGCACTGCAGTGATGTTCTGAGAATTTGCTACCTAGAAGGTTGGGCTCTGTTTCTCCCTGTTGCCTAGTCCTCTCTGCTTTGCCAAAGCTGCTTTCTTAGGAGCTCTGCTTCTGTGTGAACCAAACAAAGCTTAGCTGGGAGAAAGAATAGGTTGAAGCTGTGTAAGAGTAAGGAGCGATGCATGGGCTGGTTGCAGCAGAGCTTTGTATGTGCTGTAAATATAATTTGTTTGGAATAGAGTGTATCTATAATAGGTGGATATTACATATAATCGTGTGTGTGTGTGTGTGTATATATAAAAAATAATAATCCTATAATAATAATCCTAATAATCCTATAATAATCCTGTATCTATAATAGGTGGCTATTACAGCATATCTGAGTTTGTAAAACAGTATGCATTAGGTGGGATATTGTCTGGAAAAAGAGTTGGGTTTTCATCAATGTATTTGCATGGGATCTGTGAGGGGAACAAGTAGCTTAGTTTGTGTTGGGACTCCTTGTTCTAGAAGATTAGGAATGCCCTACCCCACAGTAGTACTTCAGTTGAGTTAAAGAAGTGGAATAGATCCTACCATGAAGAAGAATGTCAGAATATTCCCTGTAAAGCTTAGCAGTTACTTTGCATGCAGCCATTGAGGAACTTGCAAGCTTGCAGCTGAGTTGTTGGAGCATAGTTTATCTCCAGTTTTTTCTAGTTGAAACAAATCTACTTGAAACAAAATTAATGCCCTTAAGTGGCATTTTAAAGATAAATCTGGCAAGAGAAAAAAGCAGTGAGAAAAAGAAAAAATCACCAAGAACATGTCTATATTTACATATCTATATAACACATGTATAACAATAGCTTAAACTGCTGTTTTATAAATGTACTAATGTAATGGCTGATCTACGAAAGTTTTCTGTTACATATATTTTAAGAAATTAAAGTTAAAGATTGTGTGGACAGCTCGGGAGTAATGAAGAACTAAGTAAACCCATTGATTAAGAGGTCAGAAAGGAAATGCTGAAGTATAAGTATTTATTGTAAAGATCTCAGCGAGTATGAGTAAGACATGTGTGTCACAGCCTTACAGGG